AACTCCATTTCGGCGGTGACTTTTCGTGACAAGGGCAAAAATTTCTATATAAAGGAAGCTTTATACATATTTGAGATATTACGGTAGTATACATAAAGCTTTATAATTTTTAAAAATGTCAAGTCACTTATAGATGCATTATTTTCAGATAAAGTGAGTTTAAATTCCGGCGCCGAATAGAAACGTTTAGGACCATTTCCAAAGAATATCTCTTAAGCCGATATCTTTACTTCTGGGCGAAACTTTTTTTTTTCTTTTTCATATCAAAAATAAAAAAAATAATAAGTTGTGCCCAGACCTAAAAATATGATAGTGAAGAATTTGATAGCATGAAATGCGTTCAAAGCGTTGTTAGCTTCTGCAATGCATATACTGTTGGTTTATTGAAATAAAGATGAACCTTAAACTTTCCTTCGTCATATAAAAGTTGCGGAGTGCCAACATATGAAAGTTAGCGTCCAGGTATAAATCAAAATCTTTTCAGGGAGTGTAAGAATGTAAGATCTATATAGGCTTCAGCATTAGCACCAGCTAAACGCAAGCAAACAAACAGAAGTGTGAAGAGGAGGAAAAAAATTAAAAGAAAATGCCACTGAAATCGAGGTATCTCAAGACTCTTCGGAGTCCTTAATTAAACTCAGAGCACGTAGCACTCCTTGATTCAGTTCCCAGGGGCGAGCGACACCCTCCCCCTCCACTTCCTTACGGACACCCCCTTCCTTATGGACCGCTTAGATTTCCTCCCTCCAAGGCTGTGTACGGAATACTTTCAGCCGAGAATCTTGTACGTAGAATTGGTTTTGAGAGATTCGGACGTTAGTTTTATTGCTGTTTTTTTTTCGTCGCCAATTTGATCGGTGGCTATTTCTATTTATGTTTGTGAGGCGACGCTAAATTAAGGAATCTATATTTAGAAGACCTCAATGACTTGAACCATTGAGAGTTTCTATCGTCTTAGGTTTCTTTCGAATGTCTCTGCCTTGGATTCCTTATTCAAATGAAATAATATTAAATGTTTCCAAAATATGTAATAGCTATATACAGCCATTTAACGTAGTATTTTAACGTAGTATTTGATTATTTAATCATTACATTATTTGCATTTCAAGGAAAAAAGTAATTACAGCTTACTTTGCATATTATTACAATGTTGAAAGAAATTAAGTCTTACAGTTCCAATTACACAATTTTAAATAGCCGTTCAGAAGTCTCGGGATGTCTCCACGCTAAGTCGGAAAAAGGCTTTAAAAAGTAATCACAGGGGCCCTGAATGTAAAGTTCCGCTTGGGTTGCCGTTATTAGAAGTTTTATATGTCTAATTTTGTTCTCTGCAATCTTGTCGAATCCTTAATAGAAGAAATTCTATTTAACTATCGTGTGTGTTGAAAATACATTAAAATAATTATTTAAAGAACAATTGTATAATAACATAGGTATGTGCAGAGATATCCAAATCAAAGTAAAGCAAAAAAAAAATTATAACAACGTTTTTTTAAACGAAAATTTTTAATCAACTGCTATAATAACCGTTGCTCAAATTCGAAACGAGCACAGACCAATTATCCAAATGCTTTTAAATATTGCACCGCAAAGCGGCACTGAAAAAAGGCAATTCTAAAAAAAAACAAAACGAAAAGAGCGGTAGGAATACAGCCGCCACGTAATTATCCAGAAAGCTAATGTGCCACTTGTTTATTCCCCGACTAATTAAGACAAGAAAGAGTTTTTAAAAAAATACTTTAAAACAACATTGGACGGATCAAACATTCATTATGGATGACGGGGCCACGTCTTGGCGAATTTTTCATGATATTTAATGAATCCTATTAGCATCCTTCCCCTCTGGCGCACTTTTTAATTTCTTAACTTACAGTACACGAAAGAATTTTATTTAGAATCAGCTTGTTTTCGGTTCAATTGTGGAATGCCACAAGGACCTGTGTCGTGCCTGAAATATTTAATTGTTCCACACTCGGCACATGTTATTAGCTGTACGTTACGAGTCGATTCGGTATATTTGAATGTCAATAAATGAATTATTCAGCGCACCGCACTAATATTAATGGCCACAATTGCTTCCAACTGCCGATACTGTGAGTGGCAAATTGGAAATTGCCGTACCGGCTTCAGGTGGGTACGTCACGTTAAAGTTCAGGGTAAGCAAACTTCCCGGCTCAATTAGCGTGGAATTAAACGGGTTCGGGTGAGGTGACAAATCGCGGGACGCCTGGTCCCATTGTCTTCACGTTGACTAATATCCCGGCGCTTAATTTGGGTGGATTAATTATAAACAAAATTTCGACGATAAATTACGCAGACTCGCATTAATCAAGAAGTTGGGACACTGATTAAAACGCCGTTCGAGCAACTATTCCCTAAGTTGATAACGTTAATAATTCACACGTCGGTGCGGCGGTTGGGGCGGGATCAGGTGCGTTGCCTATCCGACGAGTAGCGCGTAGATAAATAGTGATTTTAAAGTACGCAGTGACAACTGGATGAGAGCATGGATTTTGTATCATTGTTTGACGAGTGGACCTTTAAGTGGATACCTACATAATTTTTAGACTGAGTCGATATTATAAATATTCGCTATATGGATTAATGGGAACATTCAAATCATTTATCTAACAAACATTTAATTCAGATTTCAATTACATTTTATTCTAAGTACGGAATTCATTATTACTATTTAAGATTTATTTTAAGAAACTAAATAAATTTTTCTTTACATTCTTATGCAGTTAAAATAAGTCATAGCAAAGCCAGCGTGTTTAATAAAATTCTATTTCATAAACGTGATATGAACCTTTTACTATTCTCTATTTATCTGAAATCTGTATTATGTAAAGATTCGCTGAAAACGCGCTCGCCATTCTTATACATCATGATACCTACCTTCACTCCCCAGTTCATTTAAGACGGGGGGTGGGGAGGCTCTATTGCCCGTGATTCAAGCATAGATTCGCCGTTTTCACTGCGTGTAACAGTGAGTGCGAGCGAAACGGATTGATATCTAACGACAGGAGCGAACGAGACACTAAATCCAAGGGTCGGGTTAGTTATTGAGGCACATGTTTCCAGCGCTGCGGGTTGATTTATAGGTGGGCGACGTAATAGAGATGAACGCATTTCCATGCGTATGACGGTACAAGATAGCTCAAAGTTAAAATAGCTCAAAGTTATCTGAAGTTAACCTGAATCTAATAAATTCTACTATTTAATTACAAATTAAAAACCGAATAAGTATGTACTTTATGACTTTAAAGATATTGCAGATGTACTCGCAGAGGCGAAAGTTATGTAATATTATAATATTTTCTATTTTATTTATCCATTTCTATAGAAAAATTGATGTTATGCGGCTAATGAACACAGGTTTACGAAGATATCACCGGCATTGGTATTCAATCTATTAAGTATTTTACACTTGTTCTATTCCCCGTTGATCCATACTTTGTACTATTTTGAGCGAGAGCTGTTGAATAGACGGAAATCAACAATCGTTATCATCATATGCCTTAAATAGTATTACAGATTTTAACTTCCACTCTAAAAAAATCCAGTAAAGAGATCCCTCAAAATCCAGCTATTTGTTTTCAGAAACTATTTAATGATTGTCAGCGATTTATACATTCTGTTAAAATTTATGCATGTCTCTTTTGTTTACATGATTAAATAAAAATGAAAATGTTGCAATATTTGATATTTAAATTCTGATACCTAATCTTGCGTTTTGTATAAAGCCACTTTTTGTTGACTAAAAAAGTATACCAGCAAAAAATTTTGGATAAATCAAATATGACCATATACCTAGGTGGGATGCAACAATGTAACTCCTAACTCAAATATAGCATTTTATTCTTGTGCTTTTTTAAAATTGTCCTTTTCTAGTGGAAACTTGCGTTTTCTTGATCTGGCAGATCAAGAAGACGAACAGATCTGGGAGCACTAATACTAGGAAACCAACACACGTATTTCGTTATTATTTATTCATAGAATGTTATTTGCGAAAACGTAAAATGCTGTATGAGCATTGGTGCAACTTTAAAGTTTAAAAGGCAATAGTCGCGGTCCTGAGGAATCTTCGTTAAGTGTCGACGAGACAGCGCGATACCTACCGCAACATATTATATTCATGAAGGGACCGTTGACTACACACGGGTGTGATGTTCAGAAATCATGAAACGATAAATAACGCTTTAACTTTGCGTATAAACACTCTACGGTTTTAATGTAATGTGTTCATAATTAAGAAGAAATAGTTCATATGGCCCAGGAAATGTTGACGAGGAAATATGCCATGTCTTAGAATAAAACAATGAAATGGCTTGACAGTATCAGTACATTTTAGCATTCAAAATTAAAGGATGTTTTTGGTCGAAAGCATTTCAAGAAGTAATAACACATTTTGGTTAAGACCAAAAAGAGGCCAGAAAATTGTGAGTAACATTAGTTTGTAGCTCAAGTATCTTGCACACTTAATTGTCACCTTACTTTTATATTTTAAACCTGTCCGTTGTTTTTTAAAGCTGTCCATTTTTTCAGCCCGTAACATCCTGTGTAATCTGTTAATACACCTTATAAAGTACCATTAGCGTAAGGCACAGTCTCTCTCCGCCTTACGCGATTATTCTAAAACAACTCTAACTTATCTTAGGTGTTAACGCCCATTAATTGTGCGGCGAGGGGACGCCTGTTGCAAGATGTTATGACAGGTTCAAATTTGAATTACAAGGGCTTTGTTAATGGGTTTGCTGACTGGGTTAATTTGTTACCATCGTATCGCTCACGTTTAGATGGTATATTATTAAAATTTTATACAGAAATGTTTAAACCTATCACATATATTGTCAGATAGATGATCAGCAAAATATTTTTTGTGTAATATATCTTAAACAAACAAAGTTTGAAAAGGCACTTTCGTATGCTTAAAATTATACAAATTTCCTCCGCATCCACTCCCTACATTAACGATACTTAATAGGACTAGAGCGTACCTGTGTGGATGTACGTATGTTTCTTCATGTCGGACTTCTGATGGAACCTCTTGCCGCAGTACTGACAGGGATAAGGCCTGGTGTCGGAGTGTATCAGAAGATGTGTGGAGAGCGTGCTGGAGCGCTTGAAAGTTTTCCCGCATTGCTTACACTCAAAAACCTTTTCCACACTGTGCACAGCCCTGAAAAGGGGATTCTTTAGATAAAACTACACAAAACCTGTTGCTAAGGCTGTTGTAAGATTCCAGATGAAATGTTGATGATTTTTCGTAGATCGTAGAACACATTAATAATGTAAAAATTATGATAAGAAAATACAGTAATTCCATAAATCGACTGGCATTCACTCTTGGCTTTAAGGCACTCCGCCTTAAAGACAAGAGTAAATAATAATAATAATAATCAGCAGGTGTATTTTCTGTCTATAACAACATCACACTTAACCTAGGTAGAGGAGTCAAGACCTAGGTAGTTAAGCTGAGCTCAAATATATTTTTTAATGTATGCAAGAAAAGGATATATTCAGAATCCTGATTATACTTTATAGAACCCACCTGTGCTGGCTGAGGCTGATTTCGTGTCCGAAAGTCTTGCTGCACAGCTCGCAGGCGAACGGCCTCTTCCCGTTGTGGGACCTTCGGGCGTGCACTTCCAAGCCGTGCGGCGTACTGAACATCTTCTCGCACTTAACGCAGGAGTATACGTCGCCGTTGAGCAGCGGTCTGGTCAAGGGGCTCGGTGCTCCCAGAACGGCGGCGCGCAACCGAAGCAGCTCCGGTCCAGCCGCTTGGACGGCGTGAAGATATAAATTGCTGTATCCCCCCCATCCGGGCAGGCCTAGGCTGCCTGCGTCTCTGAGGAACTCCGCGAACGGCAGTGGTGGGTAAAGGAAAGGTCTCTGCGGTTGAACCCTCGGGGCGTCAGGTCTTAACAGAGCGCTGACGGAGAACGCTTCGGACCTTTTTAGAGGGGGTGACGAATCGGGTGGTCTTCTAGGTGAAGACGGCGGGGAGTCTACTTCGAGCTCTGGAGAACTGGAGCGGATGGAACGCGGCGACTGCGGCGATGGCGCCCAGCAAGGGCTACCGCAGCGCGAATTCGGCGTCACATTCTCCGGTCTCGTTGCTTCAGTGTTATGTGTTTCGTCCTCTTCCTCCTCGTTCCGATCGCCAACCAGTCGATTGATACCGAATTTTATCTCTTCTGCAAAAAAATACGTAAAGGTCATTACGGCAGGCTGAATTTCTGATGATGGTAATTGTTAATGAATAAAAAATGATTTTAAATAGTCTGAATTTTATTAAAATTTTTGATTTGATTTCGCCGAGAGCTCTGTAAAAGCGCTGTGCTCCAGAAAACCTGTCATTGACTTACGGTTCATCGGTCGATATAAATACGCTCTTTTAATTTGTTAAACGTATTCTCAACTTTAATATTCATAAAACCGTAACACAAAGTGTACACGCCTGTTGTGTCAGGGCAAAAAAAAAGTTCGAATGTGTACCACAGCCACCCTTTGCGATGCATCTCGCGAATGTTATTGTTGGGGCACAAAGGGCGAAAATGCAAACGGGTCCCGGGGCCGGTGGAAGCGCGCAGGTGTCGCACTTGTAGCGAAATGGGCCGTATCATGTCGCAGCGGCAAATTGACTTTCATCTGTTTCGGTAACCCCCGTTCGGCCCAACCCCAGTAATTAACACGTCGCGCCCGGTGGACCCCCAATCTTTTATTCACAATTCACTAATCCGCGGGCGCGACAAAACGGGCACTGCGTCGTGTGATGTTCGATTTCGTTTTGTTTGGCCCTGCGTTAGACGCTCTGTTGGCCTCACTGCGTTGGGGGCGATGTTTGCCTATGAAATTAATTAGATCGAATACGTTCTGCTTTCATAGCGTTGGAGTAAGTTTTGATATTTTCACTATTGTGGACAGTTTTGATAATTGAAAGGTGAAAGTTATATTTATTATTTCAGAAGGTCGCGAGCGAACACCTGATATTAGGTAATCACCGCCTCCCATGGACATCAACAATATCAATAGAGTTACATATGAGAAACACTTTCGAGATGAAATGCATTAGTATAATAGGCCAACCTATAATTTAACCTACAATAGTTTAATATGAACGGAGACATCGGATCGTCTCGTGCCCATGAATGCCCGAAAATAATCTAAACATCAGGAATCTAAATTCAAACCTAACGCGATCAAATCCGTAAAAGTGGTTCATGTAATAATTAACTTATACAATAATATTTATTTCTCCACGACAATATTTCCTTTTATTCGCAGAATACTTCTTGTCACGATCGAGCCGTTTCTAATCAGTCGCCCGCCGTGGTGCGAATTCATACATCATCGCGCGGCCATCGGTTCAGACTCACGCTGTCCGAAAACAAACATCCATCTAGAGGCGAGACAAGTTGCGCTAATGAAGAGCGGGGCAGCCCCCATATCTGAAAGGCAGCAGCTGTCAGCATCCGGAGCGGAACCAATCGGATAGTTTCGGTAGGATTCGGCGCGAAACGGCAACGGATGACTTCAAAACTTGGTCCTTCGCGCCCGGACTTTAGAATTTTGGGGTCGCCTCTGCACTTGTTTATTCGCTCCCCACGCGACACGGTTTTATTACCCCATAGTATTTATTACATATTAATGGTTATTTGGATTCATTGTTCCGCCTCGACAGTGTGCCCCATTCAGGGCCACGCAAAATATTGGATGGGTGCCCTTTTTGAGAGCAACGGAGTGTGATAAAGGCGAGCATTATTACTCTCTATTGTAGGTTCTATTCTGTAATTAGAAAACATTTGCCAACGCTCGATGGCACAAATCATTGTCGCTCCTTCTCATTTAGATCAGAATTTTAGGCTTTGTTGCTCAATCCCTACTAACGGAATTAATAAGATAAATGGATATACCAAAACTTCAGTTGGCAAGATCCTATACTTCAACTTCTCATCGTACTAAATTGCTAAAAAGAAGACATTTTAAATTAATAAAAATAGAGGCGGGATATTAATAATAATTCTGCATAAGTATTTGCTTTTAAAAAAAATATGTTTTATTATATATTTCATATTAATATTTTATTTTATTTACTTATAAATATTTGTAATTAGAGCATTTTAATTTGTAATCGTAGAACAATAACGTTGTAACTATGGCAAGACTAGAAGTAGTCATACTTATAACTACTATTACACATCAAAGAGGGGGATATGAAACGCAAACTTATAATTACAACATTTCTTTTTATATGCCGTCGTGTGACCAAGTGTCTGTCTAATCTAGGAAACATAAATTCACCTGATGGTACGTTTCGGATGCAAGCTCATCTTACGTTTCCACCAGTCTGAGATGGCTGACTGTGGCGAATAGAACTTTGTAAGTTCGAAAAAATTGATGGTATCAGCTACCTCTTTCTATCTTTTCGGAGATTAAAAACGCGAGGGCTTGCATTGAATTTTGTATTAAATTCGAGCGTTCACAGACGCTAATTGGATTAAGGCGCTGTAGGCCGGTGCATTTTTCTATCCAAACAGTGCATTAACATCATTACAGTCGCGCTATTCGCGGGCCTAATGCAATTTTAATTATACGAGGCGCGGCCAAACGCAAATTGCGCTCGAACGCATTCAGATTGTTATTTTTGCCCCGAGTGCTTTTAACAAATTAGAAATTGCCGGTTGCGCTGTTGCACGAGTTTTTGCGTTTGCTGCTCGCGTCGGTGAAAGCACTTTTGCGCGGATAAAATTGGCTTTGTAGCTGGCCGATTGTATTTTAATTAATTATTGATTAATTAAATCTAGTTGACGCCGAGTGGTCGAAATTCGAACATAATTGATTTAAATTATAAGTTTGAACAATATTAATCTATTTTCAAGTGCAATACACAATAAACAAAAGAGGATATGTAGATATAGTGGCAGTGTGTTTAATATTTTCTTTATTTATTTAATTTTGTTTTTTATGCATAATTAGAAAAAATATCAGCATTCTGCACCCCTTCTCTATATACAGCGTGTCGTTACCATCGCGACAATAAATGAACACACATATAGAGGATAACTTTTTAATATTGTATTAAACATTTACATTCTTTAAACATCAATATTTACCGAGTTATTAAATTTTCCAAAACAAACAATTTTAGAACACCCTTACGTATAAAACTATAACGTAAAGTTCATTTGTAAAGGTCACAAAGCATATGAATGGGTTGAATGAATTTAAAAGAGACAAAACATACTGTTAGAAGGAGAGGCTTGTAATGCGACGCTGTAGCGCGAGTTGTATAGGATGTTACAAATTTTGTTTCTTTTTTTACTTAATTAGTTAGTTTGTTTGAAAAATATATTTTTTTATTATGGATTTTGTTTAACGTTAATATTTTTTTATGATTATTGGCAAGTAGCGTTAGACGTGTGTTCATTTATTGTCGCGATGGTGACGACACGCTGTATACTATAAGTGTGGGAAATTTCATACACTTTCTTTCAATTTTCATAAAAAGGGGTACATTATTTATTAATTATAGCTTCACGTATTAATATATAGGTAAAGGTATGATTTTGATTTTACCTCCGACAATAACTAGATAAAAAATATTATTTAAATTACTGAGCAAGTGTACGGAGTTTTATACAGCCTAACAGAGATGAATATAATACACAACAGAGAAATTAGTTTCAAACAACGAAAAAAACCGGCTTTTCGATATGTAAGTGTAATGCTAATATTGCATAAAGATATTTGAATTTGGATCAAAAAAAAACTTTACATAAAATTCAATAAGTTCTGGCGATTATGTCACATTGAACGAAACAAATAAAATATTGATTAATATTACATCTGATTCCGGATTATATTTGAAGACGAAATATGGGAAGTCACGCGTAAATCGTTAATCAAGATTAGAGGTAGCAATGAAATATTTAATCATGCCACGAGTTATATGGGGACCGTGACGAATTTCACTTTTAATAAACCTAGCGTTTGGGGCACTGTCAATTCTATGGGGACTGTGCGGCGAACAATTAAAAGGAGAGTTATTGTCAGTACCTAGTATATCTGAGCGATTTTTGCTACTCTTACAAGTATTACTGGCACCTGACTTAAAAAAAATCGCGCTAGATTTCTTTTTGCTAATATTATAAATTACTCTAATATTAGTTTATTATTATTATTATTATTATATTAAATTGCGCGCACTCAAAATGCCAAATGCTTTCGAAATAATAACAAAAATATTTCGAATATATGTGAAGTCCGCCAATCCGCAGTTGGGGTCGCATGGTGGACTCTGCTCAAATAACCTCAGTGTAGAGGAGGCCTTTGCCCAACGACGAGACTTATAGGCTGTTAATTTACTTTTAAATAAACACTATGTAGCTGCTCTTTATCGTGCCTACAAATGATTCTGGTCATATATACTCTTAGTTTCCCCATTGTGTGTAAATATATAAAATCTGGATTCATCGGCAAACATAACTCTGGACTAATCTTCACCTGGAAGTGTTCTCGAGTAAAGGTTGGAGACGTAAAAACATTGGAGCCATTTGCTGATAAGGCTTTGCATCAGCTTCATGAAATCGTAGAATCATATCAGAGCTCACATGGATGTTGTGAATTTCTTGGAGCCTGTTTCGGACCTGCCATGAGATGTCGATTCCTCAGTATTAGAGTCCTTATAATGAATTCTAATGTTCTTGCGTCTCTCGAAATTGCTGGAGTACTCTTTGAACTGTAGTTAAAGATACTTCTATTGTTCTAGCAAGCCGCCTTCTTCTGTCTTGTACCCGTGTACAAGATGATAATATTAGGTTGTGAAGTTAAAATTACGCTGAACTGATTAGTGTGGCCAATTTAAGGTTACTTTTAAAATGGCAGCTTGTTTCTTGAAATCTATTTAAATACCTTTGGAAAATTCGGGATTTTTCTGTGACCCGTCATTTTTGCGGCTCATTTTATTGCCACCTGCCCTTTGCAAGGTTTATTAATCAATTGCAAAGGACACTCAATTTTAAAGCAGCAGCTACCGAGTGACTAATTCGTGGAAATATTTATTACAATACTAGAGATTATATTGCTGTAGGTTGTTTGCGTTAATCCTAAAGCACGTGTAGGCATTTCCTTATCCAATGTAATAATGATTAGAATGAGGATCCGAATAAAATCACAATACACACGGAACTAAACA